GGCTCGCCCACCCTTTGTATTAGACGAATACCGGGCATTGCCGATTGGTCTGCATGTAGCCTTGAACAATCGGGAGGCCGTTTCAATTGTTGCCTCTTTATTCGGACATGTCCGAGGTGTGAGTGTGTCTGCTTCCGAGCGCCAAAGTCTTCGAGATGGCTATCGATTGAGTCTGAAGCGTTGTAAAAGCGGCTTTTGACACCTCATTGGATTGGAGGCACTTCCACCCACAACGGTCGAAGGAATGCCCGGAGAACCGTACACCAGCTCTGATCTTTTCGCAAAAACATCGGGAATGGCAATGGCAATCCCAAGACCAACAGCTTTGGTGTAGGGTTATTGGGCGGTGGACAATGGATTCATGTCGATACCATTAGTAGGCGAGGGTGTCTTAGCGATGGCCAAGCGAAATATGCTTGAGACTGACTTCGCTTGCCAAGTGAAATAGGCCACAGCGTTGACAGTTATACGCTAGACGACGAACTGAATCAATGATATTGTATTGAGTAGGGAGCAGAAACTGACCAAGACGAAGTAAAGGAGCAGGAGAGGAGGAAGGGAAAGTAGCAGGGGCAGCTCGCGGATGTGGCGTGTCGTTAATGATTGCGAGTGAAGGAAACGTACCTGTGATGGAGTCTGCCATTGTCTAGAACAGCGGGCCGTGAGACTGAACGAGGCGGAAGCCTGATATCAGAGACATGTCGAAAGTTGAAACACTGCAGAGCGAGCCGCAGAGGCCGATTGGAGCCAGAATGACGGAAGGACTCGGATTGAGGTACTCCATACGAAGCTGCTGAGTAAGTGGTGTGGCCTTGGGCCACGAAGCGGACGTCCTACTCCGTACTACTGACACCGCAGAATAAAGAGATGAAGAATGCGCAGCGTTGACCAGTTAGCCTCAAGTTTGAACGCTGCTAGAGCACCACGTGCGTCAAAATGTGACAGAAATGCTACTTCAAGGCTACCAGACTTACCAACCAGGCCACCTGCCTCACCGATGTTCCTACCGGGTACCCAAAGTAAATATGCCCTTACTCAGCAGGGGCCCGTTCAATCATGGCCTTGCGTGCACGACACGACCGACGTTCCCTTACCTGCCCGTCACGTATTTGACCGAACCGGCTTCAATCCTCAGGCGAGTAAGACATTTGTGTTACTACTACTCGACTTTCAAGTCATCTCTTTGCCAAGAGACTAGATTTTACAGTACAATAACGCTCGGTAGTCTACCCGAAGCACGTGCAGTGGTATTCAACTGAACACTCGTACGGAGCACGTGCCCGACCAAAGAACCATCCGTCACATATCACTTCAAAGGCCAGCATATTATCTGACAGCGCCAGTCCCGGCTGCTGAGGACTTAAAAATCTGCCGACTGGAATTTCCAAATTTCTTGCAGATGCTCGGTTGGTTGGTTGGTCAAGGCCGGGCTGCGCTCGTTGCCTGCCGCGAGCCTTGTCACGCCTGTCCAATGCTCAATGTCCAGCAATGGACCAATGCAGTATGGCTGACATCAGAGACAGACAGGATTGAATGGTTGGTTGGAATAGCCTGTCTATTCCTCTGTGGCGACATCCCTGTTCCTTGTTTGGCGGCCGCTCCCCCACCGAGGTTCCGATATTGCCAGCGATATCCGCGTGGCTCCCCCAAGTCTGCGTCTCTAATCGTCTTCCCACCACCACCGTCCTCCCATCTCTGATGAGCTCAGATGGCAGAGGCACTTGGAGGCTGTCAGAATCGGATTTCATCGACCCACCTATTCATCGCCCAATTCATTCATTGTACGGAGTTGTCCGTGTTCAGAACTTGGACTCGACCGCCTCGATCTCTGGTGATGCTATAGCCAAACGGCCCCATCTACTCTTCTCCGTTCTCAAAAACTGCTGATGATCCTTCTAACCATTACCGAAGCCACATTGTCTAGCTCTGTCTGGGGCAGGATCTGGTGGACTAAATATTTACCTGTTGCCATGATCGTCCCGTTGGTCTTCTCCAGGCCGAGTACGGAGTATGGAATACTCAATCATGTCGCCTGAAATTTTGCTTCTAATACTCCGTATTGCGTGCATTCTTGATCCTGGCCCCATTCAAATTCGAACCGACCCCCTAATCTCGTGGTCGACTTTGGGTTGCATGTTGGCCGTACCGTCTGCATAGTTGATTTAGTCGATAACCGCACACTCATAACGCCGACCTTGGCTCCAGGATATGCCGTATTGAAGCAAACCCGTACGTATTGAGCAAGCTCAGTACACAGTATTGTACTTGCGCGATGTCTGTTTCATCTCGGCAGTGGATCCGTCCGAGTGTTGAGACACAAAGTTTTGTTGTTGGGTCGCACCCGTGCGGGAACCAGCCACAGAAGAATGGCATTCTTGCAATGCATGCAATTTGTACTCCCTACACCAGCACAATGCCCTAGAAACCCATCACTATAAAGTTGATATACCGCTAAGTGGATCGGCTATGGCACTTGGACTTCGGACGCGTGCCTGGACGATGGCTATGCGTGTGCAACCGCTCCCGTTATATGGTCCGGAAAAAGCAAACAAACTAGTCGCTTCAGAGATTTGAGAAAATCACCAACTGTTGCAAGCAATTTCATCCATGAGCTTTGCGTTGTTTGCAGTCTTGACCGCAAACCAGGTAGTCAACCGCGGTGGTATACAAGACCGTGGGCAGAGCGGTTGGCTGGGTTGCTGGACTCAACGGCCTTCGCTCCAACAACGCTGCTCGGGCCATGGTGTTACTAGAGGGTGTGCGAAGTATGTGCTGTATGCGCACTAATCATGTCCAAGTACATGTCTCTGGGTCTCTCTTGTTTATGTCTCAAAAATTGGCGTCATTTGGATCTAGTATTCCAGAGACTTTTGACAACCCGTGCCGGAACCGGTTCGTCCGTGCGACAAAGTTGTTGGCTTGCTCTGCATTCGCGCTATCACAGTGGCCGAGTCTCGAGGTCGTCGGGTAGTCACTATTGTGCCTGGTGTCTTTGAAAGCTACGGGCCGAGTCGTACGGTTAAAGCTTTGGACTCATGCATCATGACGATCGACGTGCACGGCCTAGAGGGCGGAGGCTGCAACTCTGGTGTCTCTCGGCCGGGTCGACAGAATTTGTCACAGGCAAACGGTAGGCCGAATGCTCAGAGCTCCTACGGAGAAAACCAAGACTTACAAATAAAGAAACAATGACGCAGGGATCCATTCATAGATCCCGAAATCTGCGCAAGGGTTTGCCGATGCTGGCACCCAACTTGCGATGCAGAAGAGCAGCAGCAGCAATAACAACACCAACACCAACACCAACACCAACAACAGCAATAGCTAGAGATGAATAACGATGCCTGGGACCCAATGCCTACAGGGTGTCGGACTGGGAATCGTCCAGTGACAAGGCATAAAATGGTTCTGCCTACCAGGGAATTAGAAATACGACATGGAGGAGGGTTCGAAGCTGTGTATGCTCGCAGCTGCCGGTAACCAATCAACCCCCTCCAGAAAATGCCGTTAGGATGTAAGAACCGGCTTGCAGAATTGCTGTCCCATGGTCTCGGTGGCTTTGTGGGGATCAACAACTGCGATGAAGAGGACAGACAAACAAGAGCTGGCCAAAGGACGCACTGCGCACCTAGGCCATAGCCCTGGGTCGTTTTGAAACCATCTCAGCACTCTGGTTCCTCCTGATGACTAGGCGAACCAACCCACAGGCAATCCGTGTCCCAGGAGTGCCCACCTCCCCCATACCCACCATCGTCGTGGCTCGGCCTAGAAACACTGATGATCAACTCAACAGTCAAAATTAGTACAGTGAAATGCGGAGCACCAGTGGGTGAAACCCGGCAAGTTTACCATCTCCACACCGTTTTGTTTCCTTGTGAACATTGAAGGCGTGAAGGCAGTTAGTCTTAATTCAGTGCCGAAGCCGTGGCTCATTGGAGAATGCGTAGTGGCGGTTGGTATATGCTAGTTTGGTTTGGCCAGATGTCCCTATGACATCTAGAACAAACCGGTCTGATGCAGCCCCCCGCCCCGGGCACCCAGGATGTGGCGCATGACTGTTCAAGAGGCGCGATCAAAAGGCACAATAAAAAGGACCATTTCTTGCTCCTCATCAGGGTGTGGGTGTATTGGGGCTCGTCCTAGCCAACAAATTATCAACATCTTGCCAATAGCTTCTTGTGGCGCTCGCCTTGCCTACACGCCAGCTACATCTCTCACAGCTTGAATGTTGTAAGGCCAGAAGTTCGATTTTGTGTTAACATTCAATTCATGGGGTATCGAGGTGGAACTAGAAAATGAAATAAAAAATAAAACAAAATTTTTGGGCCGACCCGCTTGCGCCTGTGAATGACAACCTGTGCCTTTATGTGTCCCAGTGACACTTTGGTGTCTCTTGTAGCAAAAGGTGTCCTGAACGCCTCAACGAAACATATAATACAAGCTCGGGACCTAGAGCAGATGATGCCTAACGCCAAATTCGCAGCCTCTTTACCCCTCAAAACGGGTAATTGAAGTCGTCTTGCGGGTTATGCATAGGGCTCCGTTGAATGTTTCCAGCTGGAGGAACTGTTAGTTGAAGTTGCCATGTTGAAGCTCGGGAAACTCACTTCTGTCTCCCTCTGATTGAGTTTGACCTAGAATAGTGTCTACGTCCCAGGGAATGTCGATATCGAAACTTTTTGTGATGTTTTCAAAACTCATTGTTGGTGAACCGGCGAGCGACATCTGTTTGTTGGTTATGAAGGTAGGAGCTTCTTCTGTCAACAGCATCATGTAGCACCCGCCTTACTTGCATGTTTGCTACACCACCAATCGTTACCATCGGCGTATTGAAAGGATCAATTTGCATTATTTCCTATGGCAAAGGGAACATACTAGAGCTATGCGAGGCATCTAGAGAACAAACCTTTAGACCGATCAACTCTAGAAGCGAGAAATGTCTTGACGCATGGATTCCTTGAATGTGGTGAATGACTCGCGAAAACGCCTGGAATATAAGATTAGGAAGCTGCAAACTGGAGCGGCCATCCAGTATGACTGCCAGCATCATCTCCCATGGGCTCAATTCTGTCGTAGTTTTCATCCCACAATTCAGAAAGTAGGGAGGTGTTTTCATTCTCTGGGGCCACTGGGCCTGAAATAATTGGGAGTTGTGAGATAGGAGTCATCACTGGCAAAATGGTTTCGGAAGGCCAGTCCATGCCACCATTGACCGCAGCCATCATCTGCGGCTGGTTCTGTTGGTTTGTTGGCCCGTTACTGAGCTCAAACATATTGTTCTGAGACTCAATTTGATCCAGGCTCCCGAGTTGTGACTGCTGTCCATCACCAAAGGAAAGGTTCTGAGATTCAGACATTGGGCCGATCATCAAAGGGTCTAAAGCAAGGTCCTCTAGACCTCGAACTCTGCAGTCATTTGACCTGTTGTCTTGTTTCTGGCGGAGAGCAAGATGCATAGCCACTGAAGCAGTATTTGGGATAGCCGCAAGCCCTTTAGAGTCCGTGTCGTTGGCTACAATTCATTAATACGAATTCTGACAAGAGCGAGATTGGAACAGTACCTTCAGAGTAATCGTAAATCAGTGATCCACAGTGGGTGCGAACGTCTTCCTCAGTTGTACATGGCTTCATGGTATAGCAGATTGCATCAGTCCCGCCATCCATGATATATGCCAGCGAGTAAGAGGCGGAAGATCGTCCAGTAACGGCCCATTGGCCTCCTGGTCGTGGCTCCAAGTGTCGCAGTGCCGAGACCGTGGGAAGAGTAAGTCTGTCTGAGGATTCCATATCGCTGATTTTGTCTCAGTGCTTGCTTGGTATCGTTTTGGAACCAGAAAGGAAAAAAGATGCTGGACGAGACACAAGATTTTGTTTGACGTCGAAGCGGTTAAAAGTGATGCGAGAAAGAAGTTCTGGGGGACAGTGCTAGGTGGGAGACAGAGCTTAAATGACCTTGGTGGGGCTTGGGCTTTTTTTGGGCTGGCTGGTGAAGAAGCGAGAGTGCTCTGTCTGCAGGCCAGCACTGTCCTAGATACCTACCTAGGTAGGTAGCTTGACCCCGTGATTCATGCTCTCACATGTCATGTGCATGGCGCAACACTCCTCATCCACAAATACACTCCCTACAGTGGGAGGCAAAAGTATTTGACCAGATCGAGTACCGGGCTATCATGATCTACACTACAGTAAACTATATTATGTTTATGTATTCTTCTTGTTGCGAAAACTTATTCTGCCACAGACTGTACCTACAGTTGGGGGTCAAATAAATAGATGTCTATGCCCACAATCTGTAATTACCTTCCGACCTAGGTAGATAGGTCAACCTAGGTACATATTGACGGCAGGCACTGCTATAGCGCAGATTTATTCTTCTGCGTTAAATTTCCTCACTTAAGCTACTTAGGTAGTTCTTTTTGTAATACAACTTGTCTGTTGCATCATGAGCTCTTGTGTTTTTGCTGTAGATCCCTCTCTATGCTCGGTCACTTACAGTAACGGCCAAGTTACATCTCATAAATATTCTAGACAGAAAATTTTATAAGCACATTTATACAAGTTCTTTCTTAGCTATATAGGTACTATTAGCTACCTACTAGGTAGTATATAAAGCATGCTATCTCAGACATTGTGTACCATAAAGTTATTCTTAAGTGGTCCCGAGCAAGAACTATATAACCACTGTATGTTGGATTGAAACAACCACGTGCAGGGCATTTCGATGGTATTATCTCCTATATGTTGTTTCAATTGATGTGCTTCAGAAGTGTTGGATCGCTATTATAGTGATATTGACATGGAGGCGACTAATTCAGTAAGGGCTGGCAAAGAATCCACAGTCTAAGTTTCAAGGTCAGAATAAGAGTTGAAAGGTGCTAGAGGAAATGGCAAGATGCTAGAGGAAATGCAATTTACCTTTTTCTTGGTGTGGTTAATTGTGACGATTATCTTTTTACTGATAACTTCTCGCAGAACTTTCCCACCATGATAATGACATATGGTGTATATATGTAATTACTGTTTTGATAAAATCTCTTTGGATAAAAGTAGGTATGATTGATCTTGTTTTGAGGTCCATAGAATGATTTAGTATAGAATTACAAATTACTATATTCGCCCTAAAACATGCCCTATAACTACGCAGGAAGTAGCTCCTACGGAGGAAGAATGGCCATGTGTTATCGACAAAAAATTGCTTTCCATACTTGAAAGTGAATGACCGGACACATGCCTCCAGCTTTTGCGGTGGTAAAGGGGAAATAAACCACTGAAATGGCTCAGCGAGCTCTGGCATGACTGATAGAGAAGCAAGCAGGTATGATCTGTAAATGACCAGTTTTGGAGCCAATGCCACTGTCTGATAAATAGAGAGTGCTCAAGTGTTAATAGTGAAGCCAGGTATTGAGGGCCAAGCTTCTGAAATCAAACTGAAACGCAACCGTTTAACTTAAAATCTGGTGTCATTTGTGAGTATGGAATCATAGGCAAATGAACAGAGTACACTTGCATAAGCTCCTGCTTCTGTTCTGAAGAAAGATTCCATGTCTATGGAAAAATGGAGCTCATAAACGCCCGAGTACCGACGTAGAAATTTTTTGGCTGAGAGATTGTGCCATCAAACCTCAATTTTCCCAGACACTTGAAGTCGGGGCCTTTGTCGTAGCTCCGATCAGAAGTGGCTTTAGCTGCCCTGGGGTGTGTACCAAACATGAGTTGTAGGTGGGGTGCCAGAACTTATTTTAGAGCTACCCCTCACCCCTGTGAATCAAATGGCACTAAGCTGGGAGGGTTGGCACAGACCCTGGCATGGAGTAAAAGCCTCTTGAGCCATCGGATACATTTAACAGTGCCTCCAATGCATGGTCTTGTTTGCCCACCGACAATTTAAGAACTCTTTCACCACCACATGTAGCTTTCATTTCTTATGAATGCACATTTTGAGAACTCAACTTTTAAAACCACGACTCTGTACTTTCAGCTATCTATATCGCGAACTCTGGATCATCAACCACAGCTGGCTTTAGATTTCAAATATTGTCTAGAGACACAATTTCCGATTCTAAAGCAAGCACGGTATCACAGCAATGGATCCAGAAACAAACTGGATGCCAGTTTCTCAGTGGAACTTGGATCAGCTACGAGGCATTTGGTCCCAACTCCAGACCCAGGTGAATCCATTTGCACATGTCCTCTGTTTGGATGGAAATCTTTACCGAATGCTGGATGATGGGGCAAAGAATTTCATTGTTCAAAACTTCATGTAAGAATTATCCAAGGCATATGGCCGGATCACTGCTAATGTTCTTAAATTTAGACATCACGTCAAAGAGCCAGTGTTGTATTGCATTGACGGAACCGGCCCTGATCGTGTCTACTTGGGAGCTCCACGACATTTTGTAACTGGTGGTGGGATTCTTATTCAACCCAGTGGCTCGGATCCATTTTGGGTCATTCGCAATGAAATAAAGTTGAGAACTGCAACAATATGCCCGCCTCCTGTATCTACGAAGGCCACAAAGATTCCGCGTCCTCCAAATGCGTACATTCTTTACCGAAAAGAACGCCACAATACCGTGAAGGAAGCAAACCCAGGCATCACAAACAATGAAATTTGTAAGTTTTCTCAATGTCAGTTCACGACACACTACTTACTTCTTGAAGCTCAAATCCTTGGCCGAGCATGGAATCTTGAGTCACGAGAAGTACGCCAAAAGTATAAAGACATGGCCGATAGGGTGAAGCAGGCACTACTGGAAAAGCATCCAGATTACCAATATAAGCCCCGAAAGCCATCTGAGAAGAAACGTCGCACCAGGAGAAATGCACAATCGCAAGTGTCAATGAACTCGGCTACCGGAGACTTTACAATTTCCTCTCCTGAGTGCATGATTCCTCTAACTCCGGCTGGTTCTCACGTCGTTGTCTAAAAGAATTCATGGGTCTGAATGGACAAACAACCAAAACTTGCACTGCTACATATAGTGTGTATTGAATGTGTATGTGGATCTGAGGATTACAATAACTCCAGCACTAACGAAATGAAATAGCCAAAGGCACCGATTCCGCGTTTCTCAAAGCCGGATAGCTCTCGTATTCAGCCAGAAAAATTACGTGGCGATACATTTTTTTCTCTTTATGTTGATACAAGTAAAATGATACCCCGGTCAAATCTCACGATGATCTCTTATTTGCTTTTATACAACGTCGATTAAACTAGTGAGAGTGTTAAACTCTCACGAGTTCGTGGGACTGCGTCAGGTTTCTATTGTGGACCTCGGAGGGGAGGCGGTTCAAAATTCATGGCAGCAGCTGGAGTTCATGGAATAGCATAGGTTTATTTTTCTTGTATCTAGGGAGTTGCAAAATTTTTAAAAGCCAGCGACTTTGCAGGCTCAAGATACCCCTTTCCCCTGCCACCGCAATAAGCATGTTTTTGACGAATGCGCAGCTTCATTCTCCCATGTCCGCACCAGCGTGAATGATTGAGCTACTACAATCTTGCTTCAAAATCGAGTCTGCGTGCTGAAACGACATCTATGCTGGGCTTGTTGAACATGTATGGTCAAATAGCTGCTGATTTCGCAGGCACTCTTTCAGCGCTTATGCAGTCACACATTTCCGAGGGTTTGCCCGCACAGGCAGAGATACAATTACATTTAATCCGAGGGTTTAATTTTGCCTACGGGCGACACATCAATCGACACTTCTGGGACTTGGTCCCCTGTGACTACTCAAGTCGCAAAAGTCGGTGTGGGCAGAATAATAAAAAGAGACACGTCATCATGTCACAAGACCATGTCGGGAAAGAAATGAGCAAAGAGCGCTAACGTTATATTAAATCAGGTAGGCGAAGAGCTACCTCTCATGTGACGAGCCGAGCTATGATCAACTGCTTCTGTGGAATGCATCAACCGATGGGCGTGAGTCGGAGTCGCTATAGAACTCAATGATGACAAGTGCATGCCGTTGCATCCAAGCGTAGGGAGCACTCCATGGGTTGCGACAAAAATTGGCTTCTACGCCCAGGACTGTCACGACATGCTGAACGGATTTATGGCGCCTGGCTAAACCTAGAGTCAAAATTCCAAGCGGTAGAAGAGGTAATCTGAGCAATGCATGATCTGGGCAACAGTTGGATGCTGCAACATGAAGAATGTGTAATTCAAGAGCGAGATTCGAGGCGAGAGTTCTGGCAAACATTGGTTGCGGAGAGTAGATTACACTGAGACGAAGACTACGTCTTCAGACGGGGGAACACGTAGATACGTAAGTCTACGTCGCCATGAGAAAGACTACGGTAGCATTCCTGAGGCTGAATCATGCCGCGAACGGAATAAATAGCGCAACGCTCAAGGTGAATATAGATGCTATGAAGAGCCACCACTGACGATACCACATGGCCGCTATGACTGCGACGACGACGTCCCGTTCCAGTCGCTGCTCCATATGAAGGTGCCACATCGCCACTCAGACCCCGTTTCCTTCTCTCCAGAGGGCCCAAGAGGGCGGGGACAAATATAAAATGATCGGCCTGTATATGCACAGGTTAGCATAGCTCCACTGTCAGAGGACCGTAGAGACACGGAAAACGCCAAACAGGAACGACAAACAGTGCCATTACGGCGGCAATAGGACCTACCTCGGTTCACGCCAGGTTTTTTGGTAACCAGGCTAATGCATGGTTCGTCGTGCTCGCATCGAGGGACAACTCGTTTGCCCAGTAACTTGGACCAGGACTCCTTGGCTTGAATAGGGTCGAACACTCTGTCGGGTGATTTTGGGGCTGTGTCAACAAAACTATCATGAACTGGCTGCTCGGAGATTGGTGGCACGAATTCCTTTGATGTAAGTTTGTCGGAGCTTCCTTTTGTAGAAGGCGGGTTTTTCGCAGCGGGGAGATGCGCAACACTGCTTTGTGCTTCTGGATCTGCCAACACAGCTATAGAAGGGGGCGCCGAGCCAACGGGTTTGAAGAATCCCTTCAGTGTAGTTTGTCCCGCTGAGATCTTTTGCCTAGACCCAATGGGATCCGCTCCGGATTTGCTTCTCTTTAGTTGCCTTGGCACGGAGTCGATTGGGTCAGGAGACCTCTTGCGTGGCTGTGAATGTGGTAACGCCGCCGGTTTATCGGTTAATGTGTTGGTATTCACCTTTACTTGGCTCGAAGCATCATTATCGCTAGCTTGAATCGCGTCTTCTGCAGGGAAGCTGGAAGATCCCGAATTGTGCGGTGTTGTGCTTCTTTCCGCACTGGTGACCTTTCTTGAGAACATATCTCTGATGCTCTGGCGGCGATCAAATTCGGGAATAAGCTTTGCAGATAGCGGTAAGATATCCTTCTGTGCCAGCTCCCGCACCCTTGTGCCATTTTGAAACACCCCTGCGGGATTCATAACATCGCTAAGGCTAACCTGACTGCCGTTCCTGGCAATGGTGCCAGCGATTGTGGCAAAAACAGGGCAGTGATCGGAGCCCATCAGGCCTTCTTGGATATTGGCTGAAGTAAACCAATCCCTAATGCCGTTGCTACATAATATGTAGTCTATACGACTGCCATTATTGGCTGGCCGAGTGTTTTTTTTTGTGTCCCAGCACGTGTTCATTCCTAATCGACCTGGATGAAAGCAACGACAAAGGTCCCATAAAACTGGCGTCTGTCGGCCCTCGTCGCGATCGCCGACAATATTGCCTTCAAATATGAGTTGGTTGAAGATTCGTCGCGTTGGGAGTGAAATCCATTCATCAATTGTCATATTTTCCTTGCGCAGGTTCTCCATCACGTTCGTTGAATCCACTTCTGACCGAATTACGTTTAGATCACCCGTGAGAATAACCTCCTTTCCTTCGGCTACTAAATTCCGTATTCTAACATCCAAGGCCTCAAAAAAGCTGGTGCGAAACTCGACTCGACTTTCGTCTCGATTAGCTGGACAATAAACACCAAGTAGCACGAACGCTGGGAACTCCAGAATGACACAGCGGCCTTCGGAGTCAAGTACCGTGTCTTCTACAATGCCCGAGAGCTGACCGGGGCGAGGGTAACCGCCGATCTGTTGGTCTGAAGGTAGATCCCGGAAGTTGGTTGCAGACTTGGGAGGACAAAGTACACCGGTAATTCCCTCTTCAGCACGAATGGGCGCACATGATGCATTGCGAGTATAAATGGCGACGCCAGAATATCCTGCGATGATGAGTAAACCGTCGATGCTAACTGCAGGGGCATCCGAATGGACCGAACCTTTTTTGTGCTTTGGCAAGCTAAAGAAGACATCCCAACCTGGCACCAGAACCATGTCATCTTGCAAGTCTTTTCGCTGGATTTTCGTCTCTTGCATGACTACAATGTCCGATTCCAAGATATCGAACATGGCCTAGTTTGTGTGGCATTAGTAAGCTGGACTCTGCGTGGGACTGCAACGACATGTTTACCTGAAAAGTGCGCTGGTCTCTCCATGGTTGATATCCAAAGGGATTTCTGCTTCATGCGTGAGCAGGCTGCACATCACAAGATGAGTACTTGCCCGAGGAGGAATACCTGATGCCATTTACTGCACGGTTTTGTTAGCAACATAGCATACTGGGGCAGCTCTGGCAATCTTACCATTCCACGTAGTAATACGAAACCCCATAATGCCGCACTTTCGATCTCGTAAGAGGGCCCACGGGTGTTTCACTGCTTCGGCACGGCAAGGCAAATGGGAGAGGCTATTTACATCCTGCTTGCCCAAGCTGCACGATCAGGGGGCAACACAACTTCATCAGTCAGTAAGACTGGACTTGAATGCTATCGTATACAGCGTCTCAAAGAGCAGCATATGCATACGGCTTGATGACAGGCAGAATATTGAGTCTCTTGTGTGTGATGGTGAAGGTCATCGCATTGGCGTTCATTGCATCAAGACGTCAGTGGGCCCTCCTTCCATGTCGCGCGGTGCACCTTCACGGGCTGGAGGGCGGGTCGCGGGAACTGCACGACATCACGTGCTGGCAAACAGCTTCCTTTCTGCCTTATGATCGAGGCCGCCAAAATTGGCTAGCCGAGCTTGATTGATCCCGGATGACCTGATCTCACAACCTGCATTCCGCCATCAATCAACGACAATCGCCATCACCATGTTTGCTTCGCGACTAGCCACCCGCAACGCCTCGCGGTTCGCTGCGCAGCTGCGCGCCCCTGCTCAGCGCCGCCTTGCCAGCACCTCGGCCGAGAACGAGTTCATCAAGGAACGCCAGCACATCAAGGAGCACGCCAAGGAGACCACTGGTGAGTGCCATTGAACCCGACAATTGCCATTGACCCCTGGGACACATCAATTAACATTGCGCAGAGCTATGGAAGAAGATTTCCATCTAGTACGCATCCCGATGCCCATCCTAACATCCCACGGCCATTTCGCATCCTTGTGGCGGGATCTTCAGCCGCCCCAAGCCTACGAGCGGATGTTGAATCGCAGACTAACTTGACTATAAAGCGGTGTTATTCCTTGCCTGGCCCTGGCTGGTGCCAACGCCTGGTATCTCTGGAAGGAGCATTGGGAGCACTGGAGCCACATGCCTCCTCTGGAGGAGCGCACTGAGTACCCCTACCAGAACATCCGCACCAAGAACTATCAGTGGGGAGATGGTGACAAGGTAAGATACTTTGCGTGCCGTATCTGTGTGAATACTGAGCGTGTGGGTGTGCTGACCATGTGTAATAGACTCTGTTGTAAGTGTATACCGGCTGCGTGATACAAGCGATACAAGCACATGCCTGCGCAGTTTGATATACGATCTGTGAAACTAACTGTACAAATCAGCTGGAATGAATCCGTCAACTACCACAACAAAAACAAGGTTGCGTAAAGTGAAACTCGGTATCAGGGCCATGGAGCCGGCAATATTGATAGAATATCCCTTCAGGAGACTCCTTGTACATGTTCCCTAGTGTCGAATTGACTACGCTGTTTTACTAAATCCTGCTTTCCTATTGGAACATTCCACTCTGTGAAGTTTCTGCCCTGTATACATGACTCGACGGAACAAATGGAAATTTTCAGGTAGTTTCTTACACTGAGAGGAGTGCAGCTCAGAGTTGGCGGTTGGATGTGGTGATTGACACACGGGCAATCGCTGAACCTCGTGTCTCGCAGAGTGCTCGTTAGCCAAAAACGCCGGGATAAGCTAACATGTCATGGATGAAGTCTTCAATTGGTGCTGGCGGGGCTTCTTTCTGGCGACGAATTATTTTGACCCGTAGGCCAAATGACCGCATGAGGCCTGCTGGGCCGGTGCCGAAGAATACCCGACGCAAGTGGCCACCGTCCAGGACGCGTCTAACATCTACACAGGAAATGGTTCGTTTCCTGCGGCAAGGAAGCAAGACATTACTCCCACACTTGAGCCTTGTGATAATAAGTGTTTTTCAACTCCTACGGAACCGGTCTAATTTCTGTCTTGTATTGAGTTGTCAGCTATGATCTGGCAGGCAAAATTTCTTCGGTCGCGCGTCGACCATTTCTGACCTCAAACCGTGTTGGGGTACCTCGAGCCAAGGGACTCACCAAACGCTCCATGGATTAAATTTTGAACCACCAAGGAGTTGTGTGAGCCCATAGGCATGATGGCTCGCTATCTTACGCCCGCGAAAATCGGCCTTCTGGCCCTTGTGGAGCTGTACACGGAAGAGGCTGTCCCAAGTGATGCCGTGCTCCCAGTTCTTTCCTTCATCACATCACACCTTTTGGATCATGACTCTACAGACCCATTGTCATCACAGGAGGCACGGTGGGCGAAAGCAGAGCGCACCGTGAGCTTGGTCATCACCATAAAGGACTTCGAGAAGGTCCTTGGCAGCTATCCTTTCTTGATGGGGATGCCTGGTCGGAAGCTCTGGGACCAGTTCCTCGCGAAGCTTTGGGAAATCAATTCCCTGGACGGCTTGAATGAGTTTTTTGAAAGAATCAAAGAAATGCTGGTCAGGGCAAAGGGCGAGCGCCGCAAGGATGACGATGGTGACCCGGAACAGGTGGATAAGAGAATCAGATTGTCACGCAACTCGCCATTTGGAGCATTTATTCGCAGATCGCGCTTGGAGTATCAAAAACTGCGATTTCATGATTGTACGGAACTTTGGAAAGCATTTGTGCGATACCGCCAGCCCACTGCCCACTACTTGAGGAGGAAGAACCCCAGCTTTGGCCGTCTGAGTTTCGATAATATCCTTTTGCTAGGGGAACAAGGGGACTGGGATCCTGCAAGTGTGTCTGCCTTGGCAGCAGTTGCATATGGTGACATGCTCACAGGGGATGAGAGTAGCACCATCCCCGTGAGCACCGACGATGTCGAATCGCTGCTCGAGTTCCAGATTGAACAGATGCAAAGTGAGCATATTAACTTTCATACCCTCGTCATACATGTACATGTACGCTAATCCGGATAGAATATGGAAACAGGATCCCCTTGGAAATACGACACCAGTTTCATGATCTTCTGCACGACAGCTTTCTCGTGCCGAGTCTTACACACTATTTGAGGTATGAGGTGGTTATGCGGTGGACAATTTTGCACTCGTTCTAACTGTGGTGCAGCTTCCTTGACGCGTGGAAGTCTGGGGACTATCCCACAGCATTTGACTTTCTGCATAGATATTTCGACTATACTATGCAATATCGAGACAGACTGTTTTACCAGTATGCTCTTATGAACTTGGCTGTATTGCAAGCAGAATTCGGGTGCCATCAGGAAGCCATCGCAGCCATGCTAGAGGCTGTTTCTACAGCACGAGAAAATCGAGATATGACATGTCTCAATTTTGCCTTGAATTGGCTCTTTCATTTTGGTCGGGCACATCCCAACCTGGTTCGCGATTTAGAGTCAAACAGCCTTTTGGGTACTGGCAAGGAAAGCCTGGCGTTCTTAAGGGTAAAGGCTAAAGAGTCTGGCATGTGGTCTCTTTGGAGTTCCGTGCTCCTGAGCGAGGCAAAACTGGGCCTCATTAATGGAGACAGTGTTGCAACGTCTCTAGAGTACATGGTTCGAAGTTCACAAGTCATCGTTGAGAGGAACATGAAGACCATGTTTGGCTCCCAACTGTCATTGTACTCTGCGTTATGGAATCGACTGGGTCTGACACAATTGTCCACCCTGACGTCGGAAATTTTCCTCATGTGTCACGCAAGGCACGCAGTATTTGATGATGAACTTAAACATACTTGCCGCATAGCACTGACGTTATCCGATCGTGGTCGATATGACGAGGGTCTTCAGTACTTGGAGAAGCTTGACGAGAACTCGCTGCGCTCGTGGAAATCCAGCCAATACTGGTACAAGTACAGAGCAATCATAAAGCTGAGAAAAGACTTGCGCCATAACAATTTAGATGGTGCCGAAGAGCTGCTCCGCCAGCTCTTGCAGTCAAATTCGGATGACCTTGAGCCTGACATGGCCTTTATTATCGACTCGCTACACATTGACTGCTTAATCCGCCGAGGCGATTTACAGAAAGCTTTTCAGAAGGTGGAGGGCTTGATGTGCAAGCTGCGAGACGAGAACAAAGACATTGCTCTACGTGTGAAGCTTCTTCTCATGAAGGTCGCTTTGTTAGACAAATGCGGTCGCCCTCAAAGAGCCTTTTCAACAGCAGTCCGTGCCACAAACATAGCATGGCGTGCACGGCTGATTCCTTGCCTCTGGCAAGCCATCGGCGCCTTGTCCAATATCCTCGTATCTTTGGGCGAGTTCGAAGCAGCTATACAGCTCCTTGTTGCAGTTTTACCTCGGGCTTTGGAGTGCGAATCATCGTCTCTCTCAGCTCAGCTTTACTCATTTCTTGCAGACGCAAATATGGGCATGGCGGGAAATATGCCCGCAAAGTCGAGCAAGCGAACCGAACACATGACTAGAGCATTATCGGCCGTGCAAAAGGCGTTTGATCACTACTCGGCAATCGAGGACATCAAAGGCCAATGCGAAATGATGGCCAAGAAGGCAATGATTATGAAGTTGACGGGGGAAGTGGCATTGGCTGCAGACTATGCAGCGGCCTACGTGGAGCTGCAGAGGACAGCAGAGTCATTGAGGCTTGGACGGTGATGATTCATGAATACGACTGTTGCAAATATTGATTGCGTAAATGTACACTTGTTTGTACAGGACGGCTATTGTACCGCTGCATGTGGATAGATACCTTGTCAACACCCCCTAGACAAACCCTATAACCACGATGAAAACCCTAAGCCTCGCCAAGGGTATTCAAGTCAAGCTTCTGATAATCCAATAACTAGTTTCCTTTTCTCGTAGAGATCTCTGAATGTTTGCATGAGGAATTGCTTTCCATCTGCCCGTCCACGCTCGTCTACCACTGGATCTCCTCTCCCCGCTTATTCTTCAACTCACTGGCCCCCGACTTCACCACGGTCGCGTCTTCAGCAACCTCATTCGTAGCCCATACCTTTTCTATGCACAGTTCAAACGGGCCCTCAACGCGGTCCGTCAGCCCGATGCCCACGGTTCTTACTTTCTGTCTTAATATCTCTGTTTGCGGCTCCACCACAAACCCATGGTTTGTCCTCACAAAATCATTCCACTTAATTATGATAGTCTCCCACTGACCGGGCCGCTTCGCAAATAAGCGATGCTGATGCAAATCCGTGGGCTCCACCGCCTCGGTCTGCAAATTGACAAAATATGATCTGCCGTCAGACTTGATACGCAAAGCAAGATAGGCATATGGGTCGATGTCCCACACCGAACGGCCAAATAGGGTCGGTCGCTGATCAGGAGTGCGAAACGCCGCGTATCCGCTGCGCTGGATGGTTGGGCGATCCGCAGGGAGGGAGGTAGATATTTGGCCGTGGAAGCGGGCGTATGACGACGGAGACGAGGAGCCGGCTGGGTTTGAAGGTGAGTTGGTGGTGTCGGTAGATATGAAGTCGAGGTGACTTTTTGAAGAGCCCCCAATCAAGTCATCAGACATGAGGATGCAGTCTTGTATTGAGGCGGCGCTGTTGAATTCGTATAAACCTCGCGGGCCGAGCGGTCCCTTCACGGCTTCCATCTTCAGGGCTGATCAACGGTCAGCCAGTACTGATGCATATAGCGCAGAGAATATAGCCGTAGTATACGAACCTATGCTAGTACGCCTGCGCAGCTCATCCACGCTACGACCTAGCAAGCCCTTCCCCAGAAGCGGCGTCGTAACCTTCATCATGTCGCACGTCCAGAGGATGTTCGCGGGGTGGTGAATTGCTGAGCGACAGCTGCCCAGTCAGAGCCAATTGGCTCACCGGCTCTCCAAGAACATGGGATGACAGTATAATAAAAGCTGCGTTTATTGCTGGCGTCGCACGTGCCGTGGCGGCGAAAAGCTGTTGCGACAAATGTGATGACGTTGAAATTAACCTGAACGGAGCTCGTGGAAGTTGGGAGATGCTAAATTCGCACCAATTAACCTGGTGTGGATCTATCATAGTTGCATGCCATCCACCAAGTCCATGTCGCTTTTCGCACGCATTTACCCTGTGCTTCGGCAGGGGGGATTAATTTAATCCGCACTCAGAACTTCTCTGCTCCAACAATTTCCATCATCACCAGTTGCCGAGCTCGACCACGCCAACGGCCGGGCAAACTCCGTCGCAACGCCCCAATCGAAGGCCTGTTGCGAGCTTGCGACATACTGACTTGCTCGAGCAACTCTTCACCATGGCGTCGCTAACTCCAGCATGGCGAGCTGGCTCCTCACACCCGCTGCGACGTGCCATCGCGGGACCCTTGGCAATTCACAGCACAAGACGCTATGCGTCCATGCCTGGCAGGAACAAAATTATTCGAGAAATGGATCGAGCTTCTCGTCAGAGTTCAAATAAAATGGCCAAGGAGCAGAGCATGTCGAATATGCAAAAGCTTGCGAATGCCGAATACTTTAAAGATGGCGGTGGTCCTCTTTTTCCCGGTCCGTTGACATCCACAAGCGAGATTTGCCCAGTTATTAAATAATAGCCAAAAGAAACTAACATGTAGATGCTCTCTCAGGCACATTCGTCTCCCTTCCGCTATCACAGTACCCCAAATCTCCCTCCGAACTCCTCCAATACCAAGTCGCCCGCATGAAGCACTGGCTCATCTGCGCGACCTCAGTCCTCAACTTCAAGCTCAAGTCGATGCCCAACTGGACGACGCGGCCGAAATGGAAAGCCCGCCGGGGCAAGATTGCACCCACAGCCAAAGCCATGTACCGCGACATGCTCGAGGCCTTTGCCGCCGGCGACAAGGTCACCCTCAACAAGATTTGCCTCGGGGAGTTCGCCAAGAAGCTCAGCGCGGCCATTGATCGCCGTGACCCCAAGGAGCGCGTGCGTTTCGAGGTTGTCAAGTACAACAAGGGCCTGTTTTATCCCAGGCTGATGTCTCATCAGATCCACGAGGTGAATCCCTTTGACAAGACCATGGTTACCGAGCAGGCGGTCGTGGCGATTGCGTCGACGCAGCAGGCGTCCAAGATGAGCGCTGTCACGGGCGAGACGGTCCCGGGAAGCCTGAAGCTGCAGGATAAGATTGAGTACGTCGTGCTGTCGAGACAGGCGAACCAGAAGACTTTTGAGACGACGCCCTGGCGCATATGGGGGACCACTTCGGTAACGACGTTGGACGCCTACCTGCGGGAGAAGGCTGTCATAGACAAGGAGCAGGCCAGGCGGGCGGGGTGGACGGATTCGGCTCCCAAGTAAATTTAGAAGAACTGGGGTGAGAAATTCTTGGGAAAGCGCATGGGATGGCATTATGCGGGGAGGTGGCGGTTGAAAATGTAAATTAAACGTGGACTTTGTCACGATCTTTTTGTACCTGTACCATACCATCTTGCATTGGGAGCGAAAATGGACAAGTTGCGGGTTGGACACGTTATATGTTTCTCCCATCCAGCATTTGTATTATTGGTATCATACCATACTATACTCACATCTATAGTCTAATCTCTCCATCATGCTGAACCATGTCAGGCTAGCACCTGACTGTGCTGTGCACGCCAACCAAATGCTCCCTTATGTCCTTGACCACGGCGATGATGACGACGAGCGCTACGCTCAACAAATGGACCACGTCCCTCCCACGCCGAGTCTTTGCAGATTGCTAAGCCCTAAAAGAACTTGCCTGCCTTGGAGGAGGCAATTACAACTTCATCCGGCATTTCGGAGTCGCTAACCGTACGGGTCATAAGGGGTCGATCAAGTGCATCAAAGCGCTCACGGCGGAGCCTGGCCTTGATATATTGGAATGACAAGCGAAGGGCGAGAGCCCCAAAGCCCCAAACAATACCTCCAACAGGGGCTGCGACAAATGCACCAAATGCGCTCCAATCATTGGCATACAGGCCATTCTGAACGAGCAGTAATTGGGCGCCTTGTTCGGCATCCTTGTAGTAAATAGCGCCAAATATGAAGACGGTCAAAATGCCACCCAAACCACCGACGACGACTTCAAAGCCGCGCCACCAGTAGAGACGGTCGCTGAGACCAAGGCACAAGACGGGAATGGTAGCCGCGGAGAGCAGATCGCTGATGAGGTAGATCTGCAGGATGGATGATGCGCGGAGAGCAACCACCACGACAGGGATGATGATGAGCACAACCATGCCGCGGATGTACCAGATATTCAGGCGGTTGCGGAACAAGTCGTTGGAGGCGGAAGAAACCATGGCTGACTGCAGACTATCAAAGGCAGCTGTGCTGAGGGAGACAACCATGACGAGAATAATGCCGACAACCCAGCTGGGTAGCTGCTGAAGAAGCAGAAAAAAGGCCAATGAGCCCTCCTGCTCTGGTTCGCCTGGCCACGCGCCAGACCAAGCCGCAATCAAGCCAGAACAGCCGACAAGAGTGAGGATGCACAGGATAACCACCATGGCAACTGAGACGCCAACCCAAAGATCCTTGTCGGATTTGGACGAAAATGTTCGCAGCCAAAAATTGGACAGAAAGAAGTCGTTGGTGAGAACGGCAACGGGCAGGATGTACAGGAGCTGCCAACCAAGAAGGCTTGGCTCTAAGAGGTGCGACGAGTCTATGAGCTCACGTTTGATTTCCGTCTTGGCACCAACGGTGATGGTGGCAATGATGATGAGGCCAACGACCATGCCGCCTTGGACGACGTCTGTGAGGAAAGAAATTTTGAAACCACCCAAAGCTGTGACACTGTTAGCATTCAATGCTATTCAAAATAGGACCAGGGGAGGGAGATTGTCTAACAGGTATAAATGGTAGTGATGACGCATTCGACGATAATAACGGGAAGACTATCAATCCCGGTCAATGTGCTCACGACTTGACCAAGAGCAGACAACTCTGCCACCATGTACAGGAACAATGTAACCAGGGTCATGAAGCTGAGGTACAACATGGCAACTGTCCCGTAGCGTTGTCGTGTCCACTCTGTCAAGACGAAACCCTCAGGACACTTGCGGCGGATGATGGGTCCAAGGGCTCCAAAAATGAGCATAGGCAACGCCGATGCCAGGGCGTAAATGATGACTCCCTGGACACCGGTGATGGTTGCGAGCTCGGGGTAGGAGAAGAGGATACCGGCTCCGAGGGCTGCACATGTTAGCACGACACAAACGAAATTTTGACTAGACACAAAGTAAGAAGGGGGTTGGAGCGGCAACACATTTCCCACGCAAGCATTATCTTGATCGAGTAATTACGGTGCAATCTCAGCTTCAGATCCACAGGGTGCAAGATCTCTCCTGGAACAGTGTTGCCCAAGAGTTGGATCCCACATCTTGCTTCAAATCAGCGCCCGTAGTGAGCCGCATCCTCTCCCCTCTTGCGACAAGAGTGCTGATGCTTTTTCTCCTCACACTGCTTGGAAACTGATTTCTATGCAGGGGAGGCGAGACTGATGCCAGGGATGGCGACCAGTAGGTTTGCACTAGATCATCAGAAGCACCGGAGAAGAAGCTCTCATAACCTCGTCGTCAAGAGAGGAGAAGAATAAGATCAGGGAATAAACCTACTCATCTAAGTTGACTCTGCTACTGTTCCATATAGTCGTGTATACGTGACCAAACCCTTTGCCAAAGGGTTCGCATGGGTGCTGAATTGAATTTGCTGGCCCAAAAGGCTACCGCTCCAGAAACATGATGATGTAGCTGAACCGTGACGGCTCTACTCACCGGAGGCGATAAAGTTGAGAGCAAGAGGGAAGGCTAAAGAGAGAATGAGTTAGCTGAGCCCGCGGTCTTCTATCCCACCCATTTCTTGGAGTTATTTCGAGTTCTTGCACGCATGTCCTCCACATTGCTCACCACTTTGTGTTCCATTGCTGCTCAGGAAATCCTGTTTGGACTGATTTCTCATCGTCCAGGCGATTCCTGTTCCCAGGACCCTGTGCGACATTGGTTAGCGTTAGCCATGTGTGGTGATGTGAGATAACGGTCGTAACGTACAAAAATGCTCCATAAGTCACGTAGATGATGGCATTAGACGCCGGAAAGGACGGTTGACCCATGATGCTGCTTTTTGATGGCGCTTCTCGGATCCGATGAATGGATTATTAGAGGGACAGAGCGCAAGAGGGGAAATAACTGGAATCTGCGAATCTTCGGCCTTGTAAGCACGCTGCTCACCTGATCAAATCCAGGGGACGAAAAAAAAAACAAGAAAATTCTTCAGTAGATTGCAATGTCTCCAAGCTGAGAAAAAAAAAACGTCGCATCTCTTGGCTCATCTGATAGTGGTTGGTGGCACCAGCGCCTAAAACGGTTTAGAATTGGCGTTCTGCGGTGGGGGGCTCACTTCCGATGGTGGATCAGCTGGGCCTGAAGCATAAAGTAGCTGGTGGAATGACTAACTACCTACTCCATAGGTAGTACTAGTATGTAGTATTATTGGATTCATGATGGGTACTTGGTGCCAGAAACTCTGGTAGTGCATGCATGATGGATGTGTCAATGCCAATATTTGAAGGCAGGTGTATTTGGTGTTGACAGATGCATATGTCGACTATTGCATGAAGTACCAGTAGCAACGATGATGATGAGACCAACCCAACACAGTTGCATTGATGCCCGCATGTTGTCAATCAATTGATGCCCTACAGCGCTTGAAGTGCTGTAATCATCGTCCGTTGGCGCTCCCAATTGCTCTCGGGTGCCAACAGAGGATGGGTTTGACATGATTCAACGGGGACCGCATAAGGCCCCCCCCCCCAAGTGACAGTTTTCACCTTGGCGGCTCCATTCCCCGCGTCTCGCCCTCTTCCGTAGCAGCTCCCTTCAAATCCCCCTCGAGTTGAAGTTTCATCAAGTAATACCGGGCCCTTGGTGTTGTGAACAAAACTCTACACTACAGGTCGCAAATTTCCTGGCCCTATTAGCCAACCTAATTTCTAGATTACAGGATTCCAATCCCTTGCGCCGTTGGCAGAATGGACTATCCTATCTCTAGTCACGATTTCCTGAAATACTCAAACAAGCGTCTCCTAACCGCTCTCACCTCCGGTAATGTAGCCGCGACTCTAGCCCCGTATTCTCCAGACGTTTGTCCATGTAAATAACTTGACTTCCAAATCACAACGAAACTGAAAAAAAAAGCCTTGATTTGCATAATTCCAGAAAAGTGCACGGCCGAGAATTCCCAACCACCGGGTAGCCCATCGGAAAGGAAGTTCCTCTTTGTGACTTCTGTCAAGGGAAACCGTGTAAAAAAAGAAAGAATAGAAAACTAGGAAATGTCTCAGCGGCTGAATACTCTTTGCAATAAAGCATCTTAGCGTGTTGTTTGTGTCCACGCCACGCTTGCCGTTGCCGGTCTGCGTCGATTTTTGGCCATCATGATGAATAACCTTTACTGGGAAGAGTTATGTTCATTAGACCCTCGGCCATGTCCCTTGTGGTGATCCGAACCACGAAATTGTCCCGTAGGAGTTGGAGGAGGAGCCATCATAGGAGGCGTTGGCATCATCATGTTATTATAAAACATCGGGTGAGCAGGATATTGAGGGGTCATATATGATGGCACTATACCTTCATTCCCTGACTGATGAGGAGTGAATGGTCCCGCCATGTACTGATAACCTTGTGGAAACGGCTGATAGAATGGCGTCCAACCAAAAGAGGGCGGCATCATAACACCTGGCGAGATCGGGTGTTGGTGGGCTGGAACAGTGTTGACAGCTGCTTGAGCGCCGGAATCATTGTCCGAAATGACCGGGCCTGCCACGTGCTGATCGCCGTTTGCCGTAGTGATTGTGGGAGTGGCCGGGCAATTTCCGGAGCGATTTTCGTTGGGCAGTTCGAACTCAACGGACTTCTTAGTTGGAGATTCGGAGGCTCCAACTCTATGTTGGCGTCCACTGAGCTGAACATCTTGAGCTGTATCATTAACCTTTGCCGGAGCTTGCTCAAGATTGAGTGAGGACATGGCTTTGCCAACAGACGTGTCACTATTGAAGATGGTCTGGCGCGGGCGTCTCTGCCCATAAGAAAATGACTTGTTGTAGGCTGTGGAGCGATGCTGAGATTCGGTGAATTTCATTGGTGATGAATTATCATCAATATTTGCAGTTTGAGCCAGCGTGAATGAACTGGGAGTGCGGCGTCTCGGGAGAGTCGACCAGCAGCTCCTGTGCCCAGCTTCACGTCGTGGAGTCTCAAACGTTCGAGAATGCTTGCGCTCCACTCGAATGGACTTGCCCTCAATTTCTGTGCTGTTCTGAAGTCAAAAGATTAGCATTGGCAGGTAGTACTGGTTCATGATGTGATGTAAGTCACCATAGTTGTGATCAGGTCATCTGCCCCGCCTGGCCTTGCAAACTCGACAAATGCGAAGCAATTTGTTTGGCCTAGGATATGTGTTAGGCTCATTAACACCATTGAGAGGATATTCAGCGGCGACACATACCGGGTTTGCCTGGAATCTCCCTCTTGTATATCTGAATGCCCAGAACCTCTCCACTGGAGCTTGCGAGAGCGCGAAGAGCGTCCTCAGTCATGTCGGAAGGGAGGTTCCCAACATATGCGGAACGACGATCCTTGTCGTATCTTTGCATGAGTGCATCACCGCCGTCCCACTTGGACGCAGAAGGCACAATCTCATTGTGCCGTTTTGGATTGTTTGCTATGACTAGATAGGTTTGGTTCTGAGAAAAGTACTGCCACAGGTGTTAGAAAAGGAATGAAATATGCAGACAGAGATAAAAAGATCACTTACTCTGACTGGTTCACGCCTAGAATCATACATTTTATATGTGACGAGGACAGGTGGTGGAACACCAAGAGATCGTTGGAATCCCTCGTCTGCAAACTCAGCCTTTGCGACTTCGCCAAGCTGGCTGAGAAGCGTTGTAGCCTCAGCAATTGTGGTTGGCATGCCACTTTTCTTTGAGACAAGGAAAGAGGCTAATGAAGTCAGCCGGTGATTCTGGAAGATGGGAAAAACCACGTACACTGGGCCCGAGCCATCTCAGTGCGACAAGCTCGGCCTAGAATTTTCATTCCTTTGCCAAACTTTTCTGCCTTCTGAGCATCGTGATCATTCTGGAACTCTCCTGTTTTAGCAGCTTCCTCGACTTCTGGGCGACTGTGATAAGTTTTGCCTTACAGTGAATTGACAAAACGCGAAAGGCATGTGAAAATTATCTCTCTTGATTTTCACCCAGACCTCTCCAAATTGGCTAAAGGCCTTGGTAACTTCGAACTCGAGAACCTTATCCTCATAAGGTTGGGATAGACTAGCAAATTACTGTTAGGCATAATAAAAATGAAGAACCTGGCGCAGAACTTACTTTGCAACGAACATGCAGGCAGTGCCTGGGTAGATGACCTGAGCATCGACCTTTACCGGGGGCGCTTCGAACACTTGGAGTTGTGTTTCGTTGTTAGCCATGGATTCCTTGGCTGGAGTTTCGGACGATACTTCGGTGAAAATATCATCTTCAACACTAGAGCCAACAAGAAAAGCCGATGAACTGTGCGATATCATTAACAATTGTCAAACGAAAGGACGCCGAAGACTGGTGGTACTGACTTCGTAGATTTTGGCGTCCCGTCATCAGAGGCCGTTTTGCGTCGGTGATTCCTACATTATATTAGTAGTCATGGCAGACTCGAGGGAGAAGAAAGACGGCATATTACTGTATAGTCGGTGTAGGCGAAGCTCTAGCACTGGCGTACCGTGGTCCGAGAGCTAGATGGATGTTAGCGGTTGAATACGTAGCGAATCTGCAATGACTGTAACAAAATAGGGTGCTGACTGTGCCAGCCCTAACAGAATATGTGGCCATGGCCAGTTGCTAGAGATAGAAAAGCTCTCCAACTTCCATAGAAAGCCAAGTATACACTTGAAGAAAGCATGGTGTGTGTAAAAAATTAAAGTACGACGGTCAGATATTCAGGACGATACTGCCTAAATAGCGAAATGATCCTACAGACTATCTGCCAGAGAGCCAATGGAGCTTGGATATGAAGGGTAAAAAAGATTGGGTATGAAGGGAAGGTAAAGGGCAAGGAAGTCATAGATGAAAGGCAAAAAAAAAGGGAATCACAGAGTACTCACACACTCCGCCGCCACGCAACGGACTTGGGGATGTAAGATGGTCATCCGACGAAGATTTCCTAACGGTTCTGAAACCACGATCGAGGTTTCCCATTTTGGCCATGGATCCGTGGTGAACCATGATGACCTGCGCGTACTGTTTTCCCTCGTGCTGATGCTGCTGTTAGCCAACTCGGTGGTGGGGAGGAAATGACTTACCAGAGCGAAAAATGAGAATAGAAATTTCGAAGGGAAATGTTTGACAAAGAAGTAGAAAGATGATATAATATAAGGCTTTGCGAAGAGAATCTCTCTTCCCAAGCCCTGAAAATCGAAGTTCTGAAATTGAGGTGGTGGTCCACTAGAACGCGATACTCACTTGTGGCAGAGAACACCGGAGCCGAAGAAGAAGAAGTCAAATAAGACACTAAGAGCACAACCTGTGCTGATGATAGCAGATATATGTATCTCCCTTACTGATGAGAGCTGTATCTCGGATCGCAGCAGATGTGACGAGGTATTGCTTGTCCTGTAAAAAAAAAGCGTTGCAGCATAAGGAGAGGAAGAGATAAAAGGAGGAGAAACCGGCTGGGAATAAAAGGAAGGAAGGAGCGACGATAAGAAGCTAAGCACCTGCCAAGCCTTATATTTATTTGCTGAGCACTCTTGACAGGTGGACTAAACCAGACTGACACTCTTGTGGCCCTGACTGTCGGCATACTACCGTCGACGTGTGTAAGTGGTCTGATTTTTGCGGTCATGAGACCATTTTCTGTTTCCTGTCTTGATAAATATGTAATATGCCTTGTATTGTGAGTTTTATCGCGAGAAGTCTACACGATGTGGTTGGTGTTGCCTTACGTTGTGTTCCTGCCGTCACCTGGCTTCATCTGCTAGCATCTGTTCTTCGAAATTGAGTGCATCCCGTCGAATTGAAGTATAGTTCCGTGAGCTGAAATACAAGGAAGACGATAAGTTGCACCGCCAAAGACTTTAATGAGGTTCAGAAGCGATCGCACAGATTTCGTTCTGATGTAGCCTGAGGATGACCATTTCTGCACAAGAGGATACTGAGTGAGTAAAAGTGTACATTTCAAAAGCCGCAGACGATAGCATAATGCCTTTTAAATTTCATTCGTGACTCATTATTGGGCTATCTCCATTTGCCAGTGCTGGAGGCGCTCGGTGTTTTCCTGGCCACTTCAGTTCGACACACCAAACCGCCGCTGCTGCCCCGGGTCCGTTCTTCTATCAAACACTAGCAAAATAAGCAAGATTTACTTTGGTTTTCGATAATGCAGGAAAATTTCTTCAGATGGCAATAAAGTCATCGTGCCCCTGATAACTGTCATCGTCGCCCTTTCGATCAACCTCGGTCTGACACGAATATTGTCGGTGTTGTGTGACAATGTCAATGGGTAAGTCTGCCACGACGCTCACAAGCACTGAAACCTTGACTAAAATTAGTCGAAATCGACGTTGATTACTCTACTCTACTCTTAATAGGCGCTATGAGGCCCTTTATTCGTTCCCTCCCGCCGAACGAGAGAACGAACCGATGCAAACATTGCCATGAGCGACGAACTTTGGCCGAATGCCATCTATGTATGCCACGGTAGAGGCAAAAAAGCGAGACCGAATCTCGTGGACCTTGAATACTTTGTCTCATTAGCTATTATTCAGCACTGAGGCCTTAGAAACTGGCCGAGAGTCTGCTTAGATCCGGCATTGTCAGTGATTTAAGGGACAAGATATAACAATCTTTGGTATGCGCTTGGATGCGCGGCTTAGTCGATAATTGCTGCTTCCCCAAGCTACGGTCATACTGGTCACGACACTTTCTGCGACAAACAATTCAAGCATCTATTCCATACGTATATTTCCATCCCAGAACGAATTCCATGCGCCGTCCTATGCTCTGTACACAAATATGATCTCTAAATGGCCTCGTCACGGGGTATCTTACATCATAGCCTAAAATGGTCCAAAAATTGAGTCACTCTGTGCTGGAAAGCGTCCGGTTCCTCTGCAGTCGGATTATGGCCGGATTTCTCAAAGACGGCCAACTGGGAGTTTGGCATCAAATTGTGCATTTCCTCGCTAAACTGCACGGGCGCAACGAGATCATGTCGTCCGACCACGATCAAGGTCGGTGCAGAAATGTCACCTAGCCTCGGACGTACATCAAACCGCGGCATATTGTAGCTCATGGCGAAGTTGTGCGTCTCATAATGCAATCTCAACTGGCCTGAGTCGGACGCTATCGGCGCAGGCTCGCTGCCCGTCTTCTCTGATGCGAAAATGGGAAGGATTTCGTTGAAACTAGCCTGGAGGTCATCGTTGTTTCTCAAACAGCCTGCCCAGGTTCTGTATTGACGGTCTGCATCGACTTTCATTCGGGGGGATGTGAGAGATGATTTGAGACAGTACATGGTGCTTTTGAGGCCGAAAGTCGACGTGTCTCGAAGAATAAGAGCTGATACATGGGAGGGGTACTTGATGGCATACTCCAGGGCAACATATCCGCCATATGAGCCTCCAGCCAGGATGATGGGTTCTGAGCCTGCCCAGATTCTGGTCATAGTTAGAAAATGACCTTTGAGAGACGGACGGCGTTTGACTCATTGACGATGATTATTACTCCTGGCGAGAAACAGGAGGAGAAGATACGCACCTCAGTTCGTCTATGTCTGCAGCCCAACGGTCGTGGGTGTAAGGCCCCTTGGGATCGCTGCGCCCACTGCCTCGCGCATCGTATACCAGAACTCGAAACCGCGATGACAGAAATTGAAATGAGGCCTCTGTTTCTTGATGGCCAGACACACCAGGTCCGCCGTGTAGGGCTACCACTAGCTGTTTGGACCTGTCATTGTCGCCCAGTATTTTGACGTATAAGCGAGCTCCGTCACTGAGGTGGACGAGGGAGCCTTCGGTGCCCATCGTCACGATGGCGATTAAGCCGCACACCGGGGGGGTTCCTGGGCTGCGGTGCAACCGAAATCAAGCACGAACACGGCACAATCGGAGGTGGTCGATACTTCGTGGCAAGATAAAACGAGAACAAATGGAGAAGAAAAAAAGCCAAAAAAACAGGAAGCAGCAGAACAAATTGTTATGTGAATGGGGGGCGGGGACTTTGGCTGTGTGTTTGACCGTCAACTCGCTCCAGCTGCCTCGCGCTCCCTCTCTCCGTCGCCCCTTTTCATCCTTTCCAGCTCGTCAATGGTCTTTGATCCCACTGCCTCTTGTCGAGGGCCACTTAAGTCCAATGGAGACGTTTGGACTGGACCCTGCAGTTCTGTCGGGCGGCGGCTCGTGCCCCCATTCGTACGGGTCGACGGTCGACTGTCAACGGTCGTCAGTTAACAGGAATTGGGTTCGAGGCTGCCTTTTTCCAGCACCGCCACTTTCCTCATCACGCCTCGACTCGGTCATATGCCGAACTGGCCGATCCCGGTTAGAAAATCCCGCACAGCAATGGTGTAATTTGATGGCCAAAACTGATGTACTGATCTTCTCCAATTGCTCTTACATGCAGCATTTTACTCGCAACGATTTAAACTATGGCGTGCCAAGGCGTCGCGTGGGTCGACTACTACGTCAACCGACGGGACGACAGATCGATTGGTGGCACCATCTTCAATATCGACAAATGCCCGCCAACACATCTCACATGTTCCACATGTATCCTCGCACTCTCAGCATACAGATCTATGTAGGGTGTAGGGCTGAACTCTTCTGCCCTTCGCATCCTCTTTCGATAATGGGTCGTGGGGCTCCTCACAAGCGGCCGTCACAAAATGGGAATGGCCACGCCGCGTATTTTTTGTGTATTTCGGCCCTATCTACTGTGCGACAGGGGGCAATACGAGATCCATCGACCTTCCCTCTCGGCCGCTGGGAAATTACATCAAACATTGCGCGCTTAGGTGGACTACGAGCCGGGGAGCCATCCTCGCCCTCTCAACATGCAAGGATACAAGTAACAGGTTCCGCTGCCCGACATTCCTTACAGCCCTTTTACCACTGATGCTATGGAATCATCATCACTCTGAAAGCGTAGTGCTGACCCTGGGCCGCTCTTGGTATGAGATGTGTCGCTGCCGTCACCTGGTGATGGACGACCAATGGGATCGTGAAAATCTAAAATTGTCTACATCAGTGCAAGCTCCTGGGGCATAGAATGCAGCCTACACCATCTCACCTTCGATCTCAGCACCGTTCTTGGCGTGGGTATGCCAATCGAATCAGCACATTAACCTTGCCAAGAGTTGCCAGCTACCCTTTGTGGTTCCTCCTGAGCTCACGCATCAACGGCTGCACCGAGCTGAACAACGACGTAGCCTGTTCAATTTTTCGAAGAAGTCTGTCGCGTGTAGTATTCACGATGCCAGCAAGAGCCTCGTGCACATCGTTCAATTTCTCGTGTGTCCGGCGACGTGAACTCTCCACCTCCTCCTGGACCTCATCAAGCCGACCTCGCAAGTGGTCCCTCGTGTCAACAATGAGTTTATTGATATGGCCGTTTGCGATGTCGATCTTTCTACAAACAGTCAAATTGATATCCTCGGATACCTTGTCGAGCTTTGTTACAAAGGCATCATGGTTCACATCGAGGCCATGTCCGGTTTCAAGAAGCCCATGTTTAGTTCGACTGTTGACGTCGACAACAGCCCTTGACAAATCCTCAAGCCTGCCAGACGTGGCCTTGTGCGAGTCTTGTACAGTCTTGAATATTCCACTGCGATGATCGTCGAGAGTGGTGCACACACGGTCGTGGGCCTGGTCAATGTCCAGCCCCAGAGCCTGTATGTCGACTCTCGTAGTCATGATGTCGAGCGCTAGGGAGTCAAGCCGCGCACTGACGTCTCTCATCAAGGTCCCATCGATATCTAGGAGACTCTTGTCAAATCCAGAAGTTGAAGTGCATATTTTCTCAAGGCCTTCACTGATCTCGGCGCGCAGAGCACTAATGTCTCGCCGTATAGCTGTAATTGCAGCAGCTACTTCTGTCATTTCCTGGCTTCCCTGCAACCGTTGGTCAGCACCAAGAACATGCTTCCACACGTGATAGACCTAACCCGTCAAGAAATTGGGTGTGGGAAATAGTGATCATGGCTTCTCCAACTTACAACAGTGACCATTGGTGAAGCCATATCCCCCGACTTGGTGAAAACACGCGTGTGACAAGTGACACGGTGGTGGACCGGATTCAGCCGAAAGGTAACATGCAGTGTGAAGGACTCGTTCAAGAGAATGAATCTGTACAAGATCACTCCGCGACTGAACAATTCCGGATAACGAGTCGCTGGCATGACAACCCCACAAGGCCTCGGGAAGAATAAGGTGTCAGATAGACAAACTTTCGTGCGTGTCACAGTTGTGCTGCAGTTCGTCTGTGGTGTAACATGTTTATTTTCTTCCCATACTCAAAATGGACTGCGCTGGACGAAAATGACTTCTTTATAGCTTAGATCTTGATTTCAATGGCTCTGAACCTTGCTTCTAGCTACTAACATCGAGGCAAACCCACACGTCAATGTCCGGACATGATCCCGCTCAGTTGTGGGACTTTGTGCTCTCGGAGAAGCCGAGCGGCAGATGTGCAAATGTCGAGACGATTCCCCTGTATCGATGATGACGGTCGAAGTTGCTTGTCATGAGTTCCACTCAGGTCAGGATGTTCTCAGCCTCAGCCGGGCAAATGCGTCAGTGGCGGCCTGTTTGCTGCCATGCGGTAGAAGATTAATTTCTCCACAGGGCGAAAAGCCTCAGAGAGGTCAGGAAAGGCGATTCATGATTTCTGAAGGAGAGGGAATACGTCAAATTCACAGGCCCAGCTCGCTTCAGCAGGTGTCTGAGACGATTCTCCAAAGGGGTATGAGACTACCTACAAGGATTTCAGGCTCTTCCTGGCAAAGTTGCATATAGACATCGGCGGATCTAATATTGAGGCTCTTTCAATGGAGACAATCAAGAGGGACCTGGCATTGCTCTACAAATCTAGACACCGACGCCATGGTACTAAAACGTAAGATGCGCTTGCACCGAGTATGAGACAGCCGTCACGAGTTCAAACCATACTCTCACAGCTTCGCAGCCACTACTATCGCGGACAAGACTTATGCTTGGTTCTGGATTAGCATTGCAGGAAAACAAGACGGATGGAGTGTATAAAATGTGTGGATGCTACGGTAGTAGAAGCTCCATTGTCCTCTTGAAAAGCCGGGACAACTCCAGCCACCGACGACACCGTGAAGATCATCACCCATAGCCTGACACCTTGCGGTGGCTGACATGGCAAATATTCGACAGTATTACATGTCATGTATCAAGAAGCCACGCATAGCGGCCATAGCTACCTCAGCAAGCACCAATCATATATGGTTCTAACCATGGGCCCAGAAGGATTGAGAGCACCAGGACATGGAGACGAGTTCTAACTTGGAGAAACGCAGCGGGATGCTGAAGACTTGAGAGACACGGGAATATCGAACAAGGTGTATGCCTATGCAATGACGGACTCCAATAGCGCAGAATGAGACGCAGCTTGCATACAAGGCGCTGTCATCCAATGACTCGGATTCCTTGCTCTGGATTCTGCTGGACCAGTGATCTAGGGAGCAAACATGGCTTCTGTTCCATCTTAGTAACGTAAGAGGCAATCCCAGCGCGCCACATTCATGTCTAGATTGATTGCTTCACCGGCAAAGCTGATTGGCATTCTCATCCAGCGTGCGTTGACGGCACGAGGGCTCGTATCTTGATATCATGGGAATAGAAGGGTGATTTGATTGCCAATAGCGGCAGGGCATGCGATTCGCACAGGGGCAAACCGCGTTGTCGTAGATAATGGCTTGCAGGAATGGCGCAGTCCAGAAATCGGGACTCGAATGCCGCGCCAATCTGACGCATGGTGGTTCTGATATGTTTGCTGCAACCAGATCCGAGACAATAATGAAGGCAGTGCTCGTGCTGCAGATAAAGGCCATATTTGACGTATCCTCTTGCAGGAGGACACTACCACGCCGCCCCTCTGATAAGATGACGTTGGATTTCCCGAGAGCTTGGATCAGCCCGTCGTCCAGGCCATGGATGATCCACAGGGCTTCATTTCTCCACAGTCATCCAGTCAATTGATCAACTCTTTGGGATTGCCGTCAGCTCTCATCTCGTCGGCGTTGCCAAGCTCGACTCCCCTTACCCACCACCTTCCGACCAGATGACAGGTGACACTTGGAGTACGGAGTGGGATCAAGATCAAGGATGCATGTGTTAAACCAGAGAGGCGGCAGCAGTACCCCAAGACCCTGGTCTGCATGCGTTCTTGTGTCATCTCTCATCTCTCATCTCCAAGACCCCTATCGACCTACCAACCTATCGAGGTAGCTCCGCCGTTCTCCGCCTCGGCCTCTGCTTCTGCTTCTGCCACATCGCCGTTGGAGCACGACTCCAACCATCGATCCCATCCCGCCGCCACGGGACATAGCACAACACTGGCCTGTCCCCCCCCCGTCGTGACACTCGCCTGCTCGCCAGCTTCTTGTTTGCAGTCAAGCTACACCTCCATTCTCCGCTCTCCGCCGTGCCTCCATCCCGCACCCTCAAGCCGCCTCCACTGCCAACAATCGAGCAGCAAGGTCCAGCTTCAGCACAGCGCCAACCACAATCCAGTGACTGCCGACCGATTCGACCAATACTCGACTGCTTCCTCCCCATGGCCTGAGAGTGCAATGGCGATGGCCCGTCCTCACCACAGGGCGTTGTCCACCGCATCCTCATCGCCCACCGATCACCCGCCGCCCAACACCACATCTTCAACATCTACACACGTCCCCATAGCTACGGCCGGAGCTTCACATCGCAACTCCTCCAACCCCAACCACAAACGAAGCCACAGTCACACCCACAACCTCAACCACCGCTCCAACCCGTCCTCCTCGTCTTCGTCCCCTGCGCCCGTCCACCCGTCTCTCCTCCAACCTCGAGTCGCCGTCGTCCTCAACGTCCCTCCTCCCTGGCACCCGTGGCTCTTTGCTCTCCGCCTCTGCTCTATTCTCCCCGCGGTCTGGTGGGGTCTACCATGCGCCCTGCAGCTTCTTCTACGACTTCTCCCCGGCCCCGACCGAATTCTTGTCGTGCGCCCGAATCGAGCCTGCACAACCGCGCCGTGCAACGGCGGTGACGATGCCGTTCCCTTCGCCCTGACAGAAGGCGCCCTGGCGACAATATGGGTTCGTTACCTGGGGCCCCCCTCGAGCCGGCATTACTCTCAGTTCGCTAATACCAGTCCTCTTTTACATGTAGTGCTTTGCCTGTGGATATCTCTCCTTCTTCTTTACCGACTGCCTCATGTCACGATGGTCAGTCACATGCCAACGCGCGACAAATTGACAAGTCAGACTCTGCAGTCCAACTAACTCTCCAACAGGCTCATCCACTACACTCCCCAAGCGACCATCGTCCGTCTGCTCACAATCAACGCCGTCAATGCGTATTTGACCATGACCGTGCTCTCGTGTGCCGGTGGCTTTGAAGACCCCCGGCTCATGCTCCCGGGCTGGATCGGCATAGCAACCGTATGTCACTTGGGAATATATACCAACGCGCCTAGGATGGATTGTTACTGACTCGCCTTGTTTGACGATAGACGCTGACAGTGTGCTACCACATCACGCACCAAAAGATCAACATACGAAAGGAGACGTCAACGTCCATCAATGTCTTCTCGATAGCAAGTTACATTAGCATGGTAACTCTGCTGGTACATATGCATTCCTTTCAACTCAATTATCCTGCCATGCCGTTCATTGGACATGCCAAAAGGTTATGGAATGATGTATATGGTATGCTGGTGCAAATCAAGGGGTCCATTGAACGAGCAGAGCTCTGAGTTGACCCCGGAGAGGACACAGAGGGGGTGAGGGAAGCAAAGAAGCAAGAGGGTGGATGGATTCGTGTCTGAGAAATCTATTGTTACATGGCATGTGCTTGGCGGGCGTTCAATCTCAAAAAATACCCCATTGTCTACTTAGTAGTGTCTACTTAGTGGCTACATTTCTTCTTCTGTTTGACCAGCCTCGGAGCGTCGAATGATTAATCGGTTGCACGGCAGTATCATAGTCGCATCACAGTAATTTGGAGCACGCATCACATGAATTAGTACCAACCCTTTTCATACCATCATTTCCTCTCGCACTCTAACATTAAGTCACTTTACTTTTGCTCAGTAGTTTTTTTTTTTTTTTTTTTTTTTTTTTAAGACTACGGCCCGGCTTGCCTGATAAACAAATTAGCGAGTGACTGACAAGCCACGCATCAACTTGGCCCGTAGCCGAACTCATCCCTGGGTTGAGCAAGGCAGCTCGCCGTGCTTTCCGTTTCGCTGCGGCCAATACTCGCTCTTGCCGAGGATCCTCACCCAACAACCAAAAAAAGCAAAAAAATCTCTCACGCATCAGTGGATGATGGTGGCCGTCGTCCTCGAGTTCGATTGGAGCCGAGTTGAGCCCCTGGCTATCGATACATCTGGAAAGAGGTGCAATACGCGGGGGATCGTTCTCGTCCCAAACCGTCCTCTACGTCAGCGGATGCCTCGTGATGAGCAAGCAGCTGACAGGGCAACGGCGCATTGCTAGCTTAGAAACCGTGGACTTTGATGGTCTTGGCGTCTAGCTCAAGGCCGTCCTTCTTGTCGACGAGGAATTCCTGAACATCTTTGCGCTGGTCACCCTGGAGCTGGATCACCTCGCCCATTTCCGTATCGTTGACGATAGTGCCATTGCAGGCTGGAGAGTGCTGTTAGTAACCATGTCTATGCCCGGTGTCGCTAACAATGGATGCGTTTGGAAGTAGCCTTCAACGTACCAAATTTCTTCTTGATGACCTTGAGAATCTTCTTCTGGTCAAACTTCTTCGGAAGACCCTGCACAGTGGTCAAAGTCTTACGTCCATTACGCTCTATATATTTGTCAGTAACTGTGCGTTCAGGGTGCATGTGCTGCTCCCCCTCTCTGTCACGCCATATGGAGGAAGATTGTGACATAGATTGCCGCTCCGCGTGAAGACGTGGGTATAACATCAAGTCGGGTGAGGCAAGCGTGGAAGACGTACGCTGAATACGTATATGTATGTAATTCTGTGA